AGAGCTCTGCGGACTCCTGCTGGAGGGCGCGCGCAACGGCAGCTACCCCGCGTCCTACCGTGGGCTGCGACGGGCGGCGCAGGTGAGCACATTGCACCCTCACGCACACGCACACTCACACGCTCCGCACGAATCCACATAGTGGCCCAGAGTTGTTTCTCCACCTCCTCCCGCTGAGTGAGTTCAGGCGAGCTAGTAGCCCAGCTCTGCGGACTCCTGCTGGAGGGCGCGCGCAACGGCAGCTACCCCGCGTCCTACCGTGGGCTGCGACGGGCGGCGCAGGTGAGCACATTGCACCCTCACGCACACGCACACTCACACGCTCCGCACGAATCCACATAGTGGCCCAGAGTTGTTTCTCCACCTCCTCCCGCTGAGTGAGTTCAGGCGAGCTAGTAGCCCCTCTGAGCCTCAGTTTCCCTATCTGTAAAATGGACAAGACACCCTCAGGGCTGACGTTCTGGCACGCAGTATGCCAGACTTAGACACTGACTGTTCCGCTGCCTATCTTGTCCGTCCTCCCCTCTGGATGTGGAGCAGTGCCCACGCGCAGCAAAAGCTGGCTTAGCAGTTAAAGAATGAAAAAATGCATCCCGAGAACAGGGTTCTCCTAGGACAGGCGCGGCCTTGGAACCCGTGGTCTTTGTCCAGCTGTCACTTTCCGGCCCTGCTGGACCGGGTGTTACAGACACTGAATCTGTATTTCATTGGGTTCCCAGGAGACAAGTATCAACTTTGTCCCTGTGTACAGAAGCGGAAACCGAGGTCAGGACCATCCCTGGCCCAAGGTCTTGCGGGCGGTAGGCCCCACCCCATGAGACCTGCCAGCCACCTGCCCGACCCTGACCCTGGCTCGCAACTCTCCTCTATGTCTGGCGGGCGTGGGACAGGGCCCCTGGGCCAAGGGCGGGAGGGTGTGGAGAGCGGAGCAATGAAAGGGTGCGCTGTTCCCAGATCGTCAGGCACAGCCTGGGGCAGAGGTGTCTCAGCTTCTCCCGGGCGCAGACTATGAGGCAGCTGAGAGCCACGGTGCCTCCGGAGTCCGGCGTGGGCGACCGTCAGTGGCTGTACCAGACGTGTACGGAGTTTGGCTTCTGTGAGTGACTGGCCTCGCCCGCATCGCGGGCATACATTTTGCACCCGGGCTCCAGGCCTGTGTACCCGCAGGTGCCGCGCTGGCAAGGGTGGGCCATGCCACTGTGCTCACACGCGGACTTCCTGTGGTCCTCCTAGGGTGTCTGCAATGCTTCGTTCCTTTTAGAGGCCTCCTCCCCTTGTCCACAGGTTGTCAGTCAGAGTTCTGCCATCTGTCCTGGGCAGCCTCCCATCTGTCCCTCCCCTCCCTTTTCTTTCCTCCTCCTCCTCATTGGTCTCCAGGGGTCGCTTCACCCATACAACCCCACTTTGACACAGCACCCAAAGGTAGCCTTGCTCTCCTACGTTTTTGGTGACCCAAGGATGGGTTACCAGATAAAAAGCAGAATGCACAGTTAAATTTAAATTTTGAAACACCAACAATTTCAGTATAAAGTGTCCCAAATACTGTGTGTATTTAAAACAGTGGCTTATCTATCTGAATATATGCATGCTGTTTGCGTGTTAAATTTGGGCAGCCCACCCCAAAGCTAAGTTCAAAATTCTTCCCACATCTCTGGAGGCTGTGAGGATAGTGATTTACAGTAAAAGTGCTCCAGTGACCTCCCTATGAGGGCCAGAGACTTAGCTCAGTGGTTCTACCACCTTCCTCACAAGCACAAGGTCCTCAGTTCAATCCCTGGTAAAGCCCCTCAACAAAAACAAAAAAGGGACCACCTGACCTTCCAATGCCTGGGTTTCCACACCAAAAGTAGTACAAAGCAGACCTTCCCTCCCAGAACTGAAGGAAGTAACAGCTGTAGCATGATAGAAATAACATGGTATACAGCAAGTGTTGCGTAAGTACTCACTGTGGTTATTGTGAGGCCTCACACATTTCACTCTTAACACACGGGTCTCCTGCCAGAGGGAGGGTCCTGTGCAAGTGGCCAAGCAGGTGGTTGGGTCACCTTCCTGTCAGTTTCCTCCTCTGTAGCATAAGGTCCGCCCCCAAACCTTCCATCACCTGGAGATCCCTGGTTCCCCTGCAGCCCAGTCCTCCGTTCCCAGCCTTCTCGAGAGCTTTCAGGCCTGTTGACTGCCCATCCCCCACCCCAATCCGTCCTGAGTCCTGTGGCAGCAGAGCCTGTGGCTTCTGGTTGCCACTGCATGCCAGTAGCCCAGCACACCATCAGTGCCCAAAGGCGGTGCAGGCAGGAAGGGACTGGTGTGCGGTCAGGGGTTGGATTTGCCCTGGCAGCACAGGGAGCTGTGGATTGTAAGTAGGGCAGACATGATCTGGTGTGAACATTTGTCACTCCAGACACCTGCCCTCTACTTCTGAACTTTTGCACATCCTGTTCCTTTGTCTGTTATTCTGTCTTCCCATCACTGCTGGGTTCTCCCCCTATTCCATCCCTGAGCCCATCTAGCTCCCTTGGGGACCCCCACATTCCAGCCTGTGTTTATCACAGCTCATAACCCCAGGATGGGTCTATCTAGAGAGTGGGGGGTCTCTCTGACAATGCTGTGAGGTCACCAGTCGGTCACTGAGGGCATCACTGGGGAGGACAGTGGGTCACTGGCTCAGGCGTCCTCACACTCACAGGTGTCTCCCTCCCTCCACAGATGTCACCTGTGAGGACCCTGACTGTCCCTTTTCTGAGCTCCCAGCACTGTCCTCGCACCTGGAGCTATGTGAGCAGGTGTTCGGGCTCTCAGCCTCATCAGTAGCCCGAGCTGTGGTCCAGACAAACTCCCACTATGGAGGCCAGGCCCCAGGTGCCACCCGGGTGCTGTTTGTCAATGGTGAGCACCACAGCCAGCAGGGAGCTGCGGGCTTCTCCCCTGCCCAGACCAACCGCCCTCCCTTCCCTCAGGAGACACTGACCCCTGGCATGTGCTGAGCGTCACACAACCATCGGAGACAGCCCTGCTCATCCCGGGGGCCTCCCACTGCGCAGACATGGCCCCTGAGAGGCCCTCAGACCCCGCCAGCCTCCGCCAGGGGCGCCTGGTAAGAGAGGAGGCCCCAGTGCCGCCCACTTCCCTGTTCCTCTGCCCACACTGGGGCTAACCCGAAATTGTCCTGCTCTCCACAGAGTATCTTGCAGCAGCTGCAGACCTGGCTTGGGCAGGCACAAGAAGAGAGGCACATGGGGGTCCCAGCCTGAACCCCACACAGCACCCCTCCTTCACTGGGGGACAAAAGGAAGCTGTTTGTCTGAAGTAGGGAACCCCCGGGACCTGGGTTCAGCACCCACCCTGCACACAGCCCACTTGTGTGCAAGCCGAGTAAAGGTTATAGAAAAACAGCACCAATACTGGTGGTCAGTGAGTAGGGGAGCCGCTGTCTCCCTGCTGAATGCCCAGGACATGTGGCTTTACAGCACCCAGCCTTGCCAGCCACTTTCCCTGACTCCAGCCTCAGTTTCCAGTTCCTCCTCTGGGTGCTGCTGTAGGCCTCAAGCCCAGCCTGGCCCACTCATAGCTGCCCCACAGCATGTCTGTCCAGTCCCCAGTCTCTTCCTTTTTTGCTTTAGTTTTGGACGTCTGGTGTTGCTGGGTCTGTGGCTATTCTTCTTTCCTGGCTGCTGTTTCCCTGTGCATTGTCTTTCTATCTGCCTGAGTGTGCCTCTTGTGCACATCTAGTCTCTCCTCACCTCCTCTCCTCCCCTCAGCTCTCCTCTCCCACTTGCTCTGCCCAGGTCTCTGACTCTCATGGTTGTCTCCATGCTTCTCCTAGTGGCTCTTGCTCCCTCTTTCTCTCTGCCTGTTTCCTCCCCTCATGCTCTCCCAGCCTCTCTGCTGTCTCCTCATCCTTGTACGCATTCTGTGCAGCTGTAGCACACACCACAGCTGGGTGAACCACACTGCACAGATGTGATACAGAGCCAGGGCATCCAAGAGCAAGGGGCTGCATCTGGGAGGGCTGTGCCGGCAGGGCTGGGGGAGGGCAGACCCACTCCTCAGCCACAGTTTGGAGGCTTGTTGAGGGCGTAGCCTTCAGAAGCATCCCCTCAGGGTTCACCCTGGGCGCTGTTGTGACACAGGGCTCTGGGGACACATAGCCGCCTCCTCAAGGTTCTGTCTCAGTTCTGTCTCCTGGGCTTCTTCCCACCCTTCCCACACCCACATCACTTCCTGGAGCTGTGCTCTCCTCCATCTGGAAGGGCCAGGCTTCTGCCACAGCCCCAGGGCTGGGGTGGGGACCAATCCCAAGGGCCCTTGGCCACCCATAGTGGATGTGCCCACAGAGCCAGGGCAGCCACAGGAGGAGACACCCACCCTGGGGGCTGGGAGCTGGGAGGAGAAGGAAAGGCAGCGGACAGAGGGGGGGATGGGAGAGAAGCTGTGATTGTTCTGTGAGATGTTCCTGGCTCCCAAACCTGGAAGCTCTGATCTCCAGTAAGGACAGTCAGCCCTGCTCCCCAGGGGACAGCTGGCCCCATCTGGATTTCACCACAGCCCTCAGGCTGAGGTCCAACTCCACCTTTCCCTACTCTGCCCCAAGGCTGGCGTGCCAAAGGCTCAGGCCTGCTGAGAAGTGAAATACTTCTGTCCAGCCGCAACTGTTGGCTCATTCCCCGATTCCCTCCTTGCCAGGCTCCTTCTCTTCATCTTTGTTCAGTGTGACATCTGGCTGGGTTTGGGGCTTTCTCAGCATCCCTGCCCGTGCACCTGCCATCCCAGACCGAGCTCTCATGGGGGCTGAGGCAAGGATTGTCCTCATATTTGGGGTACACCATATGCCTGAGGTGGGCTCTGGGCCTGATGTTTTCAGGGGGCTGAGCCATCTCAACTTTTCATCCACAGTCCCTCTACAGCTGGCATTACTTTCTGTCCACATCTGTATCGAAAAGGATGGGAATCTTCAATGTGCTTCCTTCCGATGCCCCTGCTCTGCCTTTGACACTGACTGTCCATTCTGTCCTTGGCATCCATGGTGACTCTTCCTAAAGATAAATCAGACAGGCTATCCTGTGCTCAGATCCCTTGCACACAACTAGCGAGACGTCAACCCTACCCCCAGGGCTACGGCCCTGGTTGCTCTGGCTTTCCAGCACTCTTCTTCGCTCTGCCCTGTCCCCTGCACCCTGCCTGCTAGCCACTTGACTTCATGTGGCTGTGATCTAAAATCTGAAGCTGCTTCCCTCCTGGTATTCACTGTTGTCCCCTCTCCCTGCGGGACTACCCCTCCCATGGCCTTGCAGTGGCTGCTTCCCGGCACACTCAGCCCAATTCAAATGTCACTTCCTCCAGAGGCCTGCCCTGACTGCCTCCACATCCAGTGGCTCCCTCTCGTGTTAGCTATTTTATTTTTCACAAGCACCATCTGAAATTCAGCCCCCTGGACTCATATGAAAGGTGGAGGAGGCCCGTTTGGTAAACACAGCACTGGAGTTCCCTACTTCACACCTATGCAGTGTGCAGAAGCTTCTCCTCCACACAGTTGGCAGGTTGCTGGGTTAAAGGCCTTAAAACATTTAGTGGGACAGAACAGTTGGTATATTTGTGGCTTACCTGTTTATCATTTTCATTTATGGATGATGTCAACAATATGAAAAATACTTCAATTAACAGGAGGTGGGAGCATCGTGCCCCACTGATCCCCCATGTGTCTCATACAGTTCCACCTCTAAGTTGGACTGAGTGGAGCTTTTGTCCTGAGCGCTATGCCTGGGAGAGAGGACTCCAGACACCACTTCCCCAGCACACACCCAGGGCCTGGGCAGGGCCACTCGAAGCTCCCTCCAGAGCCCAGGCTCGCAGTGGCAAATATCGGGGGTCTCTCCGGGTGCCCCCAGTGATAGGCAGAGGTGGTGGCAATTTCCTGGGGAGCCCCAGAGCCCAGGACACTGAGGTTGGGTATTAGCCCCTATGGTAGCTAAACTACCACACACACATGATCAATTAACTCCCCATAAAGCCACAGAGCCATTTCCGTAAGGAAAGAATTCTTCCTTTGAAGGAAGAATTTTAGAACACCTGGGTAAAACCAGGGAAAGGAGTTAATCACACCCATCCGTGGCTCTAAATCTGCGCCATCACCATCAAGTATGTAGGGGAAAATGGGAAAATATCTTCATGCACTTTTACCAGGCAAGTATTTTTTGGAAAGGACACAATTGAATAAAATACTTTTTAAAAAGATGAATTAGATCTTATCAAAGTTAAAATCTACTCAAAAGATATTAAGAAAATGAAAAGACTGGCAAAAAAAAAAAACCTGGGGAAACAGCAACAGCACATATATATGAAGAAGGACTTATGTCCAGATTAAATAAAGGACTTCTTGAAATCAAAAATAAAAAGAGAGGCTAATAACAAATGGGCAAAGTGCTTGACTAACCATTTCAATTTAAAAATGAATGACCAATAAACACAGGAAAACATTGCCCAAATTGCTTAGTCAGTAGAAAAATGTGAATCAAAACTGTCATGCCTGGCCTGACTGAGACCTGCACAGTAAACAGCAGGGGCCCTGGACAAGCAGAATGGATGGCCATAAAGAAAATTTTGGGTAGAATACTCCATCTCCCTGGCACTAAAGACTCCATGCACACCTGTGTTGACTGTCAATCATAAACATTGCATTTCAGATTCCTTAAGATTATGACACCCTTCTCTTTACAAACTTTGTTTGTTTGTTTGTTTTTTGGTTTTGTTTTGTTTTGTTTTTTGAGACAGGGTCTCACTATGTAGTTGAGACTGACCTGGAACTCACTATGTAGCCCAGGCTGGTCTCCAACTCACAGTGATCCTCCTGCATCAGCCCCCTACCCACCAGTGTTGGGATTACAGGCATGAGCCACCACACCCAGCTTTTTTTTTTTTTTTTTTTAACCCTTTACAAATTTAGTCTCCCAGCTAGCTGCTGAAATCAGAATCTCAGCCCTGTCTGCATCCAGGCAGAATAAATTCAGCTTTTTTCTCCTGCAGCCTGTGTCTGAGGGGCCTCTCGTGCACCATTCATAATAAAATCCACATGAAATACTACTTTATATCCAAAAGAATTACAAGCAGGCAAACAAAACCTCTGAAAAGTTCCTGTGGTAAGGAAGTGCAACACCCCACCATTGCTAGTGAGAAAAACACACAGTCTGCCGGGCCTGTGACCAGCACACCTTGTCCTAGATAGTCTCCCAAATAATAAATGCATGCATCTAGGATAAGATAATGTAAGATGTTTATAACAGCTTTATTCACACTAGCTAAAGACTGGAAACAGTGCAAAGGTGCATGAGTAGATAAATGGGAAGAGAAGGTGTGATACAGTCATAAAATAAAATGCTACTTAGCAATAACAAAAAGTGAACCACTGGTGAAGTCAGATAAATCTCCAAATTATTAAATTGAGTAAAATAAGTCAGGCACAGGACTAGACATGGTCTATTTCCATTTATACAAAGGTCAAGTCAAGGCAGAACTAATGTCTGGCGGGGACCCACACAGGCTTGACAGCAGGGGGAAGCCAACAAATCCATTGCCAAAAAGTAACTGGATAAAACCCTGAAACTACCACTTCAAGGCATACAGCACACTTAGAAGCAAAGAATAAACAAGTGAGATGCCACCAACCCAAACGTTTCTGCACAACATAGGCACAACCCATAAAAGGCTGATTCACAAAATGGATAAGGATCTTAGAAAGTTCAGTATCAAAAATAAACTGTCTAACCTGATTACAAAGTAAGCAAGGACCTTAATAGACATTTTTGCAAAGAAGGAATATAAATGGGCAACAGGTACTGGAAAAGTTGCGTGTTAGAGTCTCCTGCAGGGAGTCGAGTCCCTACCTGCCCAGTGATATGAGCTTGAAGAAAACCTTAAGACAGAATTAAAGAGAAAGTGTGAACTGGGACGGCCCATGCTCCTTCAGCAAAATGCCCTGGTCTGTCTCACCTACTGAATGTTATTATTTATTAATTACGGTAAAGGTATAATATGTGTATAGATGTATAGCACTTGTAATTGCCATGCAAACCAATGTAGGCAAGGCTTTAAAGAGAAGTCAAAGCGTTTTCAAATTAGAAGCAAGATAAACAAAACCATGGTTGTAATTAGAGCTCTGTCCTTTCAGCTGTGAAGGCAATGATTGTGGGGATGCAGTTTGGGTGGGATTCCTCTGAGCTCAGCTAGGATGTTACCTCGTAAGAGCCCCACAGCTTCACAACCATCACTCTGGTCTGGCCATGGGCAGGAAGGTCATGTTGAGCTGCTTCTGTGAGTCACAGAGCTTCAGTCAAACTCCCCTTCTTACTGTGAACAAGGGAGGGGCTAACTCTGCAGCCCACACAGCTCACAGCCTGCTTTGGGCATAATCAGTATTGCAGGTTCTGACAGTTGCCTACAACACTAATCAGAGAAATGCCACTTGCACCCACTTCCTGTTGGGATGGTTGTTGCCCCTATGCAAGAGGTAGTAAGTGCTGGTGTGGGTGCAGAGAACAGGGAAAACATGTATGTCAGCTGGTACAGCACTATAAAAACAGTATGGAAGATTCTCTGAAAGTGCAGATCCAGGGGCCCCCAATCCTTTGGATGAGTATTGACATAATGGAAGTGAAATCAGCATAGAGATATCATAGAGATATCTAGGCTCCCTTAGTTATTGCAGTGGTATTCACCATAGCCAAGGTATGGAAGCAACCTAAATATTCTTCAGCACATGAAGAAAGAAATTGTGTTGTGGCCTTTACAAAGGAGATGATGCTATTTGCAGCAACAGGGGGGAAAAAAACAAACAAAAAAACCTAATGAATATTATGCTAAGTGAAATACACAGACTGCAGACAAATACGCTATGATCTTTTATATATGTAACCTAAAAATAAATTTTGAATAAGTAGAAGCAGAGTACAGGGAAAGTATACATGTGAAGCAGGTTAAAAAGCACACATTTATAATGAGGTAGAATTAAGAAAAGAACAGAGATGTAAAGCATGGGTAGTTTATTGTATTGTGCATTGAAACGCTGCTGAGTAGATTTTAATTGTTCTATCAAAAAAGGTGACCATGGAAGGTGATGAAGGGAGGGTGGGTGACTTCTCCAGCCCCATTCTGGAGGAAGAGTTGCGTGGGCTGGGGTCAGAGTCCCGGAGGCGATTGGTGCACTCTCCGCGCAGCCATCTGACTTAAGGTGTACGCATCTTCACAGAGAGGGACCCAGACCGATCCAGCGCACGCCTGCC